AAGGAGAGTAAAAATATGTGTACCTGACGACAATACCACAATAACGTACTGCCAACCAAATGCTGGAGTATGCCGACGGATAGACCTCACTTCCGTGAATGGTACTGCTCTTATTGTGTAAAGATTTCTATCTACATTTAAGAAGTAGGCAATCGAGTAAATTCATAGACATAAGAGAATGCATCATTTCAATTAAAATACCAAAGACGGCTACCTCTCTCCGATAATCTCGCATTCGAGTTTTGTCCCTTGTAAGGAATCCATGTCTACCATTAAACACAACAAAACAGATTCCGAGTCAACAGAACACAAGGCACGAAATGGCACATATCCAGAAACACATGAAAACAAAATACACATTTCTTTTTTGAAATAAACAAGAAGTTGTAATCAGTCGTACTTACAATAAATAGGCCCGATCCTTGCTTGGTCAACCTCAATCTTCCACTAATCCTTTCAGACGCAAACTGCGTAGGATGAATTGTCACATTTTCTTTAGAATAAACAACCTCAGCACCTTCAGGTTCGCTAGATGAGCTTCCCCGACCGCTATCGCTCCGCATCATGCTTGCGGAACCCTAGAATCCAGAAAACAACATCAAAGAGAGAAATGACACAATCGGCTGAATTCAATTCGTCGATGCAAGATAATTAACAGAGTGTAGCCTCGTGCGCGGGAAATTGAACCGTAAAATTAAGAGAAACAATAAACTCCGACGTACTTGTTGCTGTGAAGCTGCGTAATCGGCATCGTCGGACAAATCGTGAAGGTCGGTTTCTAGCATCGCCGTCGGAGCCGCAGTTGCTGTTGCATCGACTTTCAGAGAAACGCTGGCTGGCTGGCACTTCTTTGCTTGTTCTTTATTTTCCTTCCTTCTATCTTGCTTTTCCTTCTTATTTCTCTCGCTTCCTTAGAGGCTAAGGTGTCGACGGTAGGACCCTGTAGCGGTATCTACGATTTCAGAGCGGAGTAGTTCCGATGGGACCCACTTCCAAGCGTTGATCTCTTTTTCTTTTATTAGGAGTTTTTCTTTCGACACGTGGCCTCTGTGGTTTCTTTAATTAATTTCTTTTTTTTCAAAGGAATTAATTTCTAAATTTTTAATGTTTTATTTTGTATCCTTCCATTTTTTGTTATGTTTTATAATATAAACTTTCCCTTGAATATTATGGTTAAATTATCATTTTAGTCTCTAATTGATATATCAACCTGTCGAACCGAGCATAGCTCAAATGATTAAGGTATCTATCTCTCACATGTAGCTCAAATTATTAAGTCACATATCTTTGATCTCAGGGTCATGAGTTCGAATCCCACCCACATGTTGTACTAAAAAAAGCACATTCATATCATATATACCATAGAGACATTTAGATTATAAATTACTTGCACAGTAAAGAAAATAAATATTATCATATATATTATTGATATACAAACATTTATAAATATATCGTTGGTATATCAACCTTCATTCCTCGTCCCTATACTTGTTTGTATTAAAAATATAAAAAATAAAAATAATTTATGTTAAATTTATTTTTCTCCTAACCATTTTAACCATTTTGATTTATTTTGTAATAGATAAAATACGGGAAACGCTCATAAAAGGTGAAGATCAAATCGCATCGAAATTGGAAGAGAAATATATATTAAAAAAATCAGAAAGCGCCGAGGAAAACGAATCACGCGCGAAATACCTGAGTCGGGGGACGAGTTAGAGTGGACCCCACTCCCTACAATGTTCGCCACGTGTTCTGTACCAGCGCATTCTGACTCCGCCACACTCTCACTCTCTCTCTCTCTCCTCTGTCAAAACCGATTTAAAGACGCCATTTCAGTGGCGACTGAGAACGTGGGAGGTAGAAAGCTATGGCGTCCGAGAGAGCAGAGACGCTGCCAGTGCTGCAGAAGGAGGGAGGCGAGCGGAAAGGATCCGACATGACTAAGAGAGGAGCTTACGCGGCCATTTCTTATATGGCCTGTGCTGGTTCGTCTTTCACTTTCATAGCGTCGATCAAGTAGTTTTCGTTGTTTTCTTGTGTATACCGTTTTCTCACGCACGATTCGATATCTGATTTGTTAGTTTGAATTTTACATTACTGGTGCGATATTTGTTAGGGAAGTTTTTGCTGTGCTTTCTTTGCATGAAAACTGGAAATCGTCTCTGGATTTTTGTTCTGTTCTGTGTACTGCAATAACTGCTACTGGTTTGTCTCTTTTCCAATGGCATGCGCGCGAGTCTGAAGGAGGAAGAAAGACAGAAAGATATCGACATCTCTGTTAATGAGAGTATTTAGAAAGTAAAAGGCCTCCCATACTCGTGGGACCGATGTTTGGACGACAATGTGTGTTTCGGTTTCTTAAATTTTTGGTTTGATCTTTGAAGAACACTCGGACAAATCTTTACTCCGATTCGAGTAGCTTCACACTGGTTTGATTACGATTATGTTAGAAACCGGGGAGAGGATGACTTTCACCGGAGATCGTGAGACTTACTGTGCGAGAGAAACACCAAATTATTTGAGATTATCTTCATTTAGTTTCATTTAGTTTCACAACTTTTAGTGCCAAAAGACTTTTGAAGTGCCTATAGAGGTCTAGAGAATAAAGTTATGTGTAAAGTACTTATAGGCTCACTATATGCATATGATGGGACGAGTGACAGAGAGCGAGCGAGCAAGTGGTGGGTCTTTAAGGAAGAAAAAAGAGAGAGAGAGAGTGCATGGTGGGACTTGGAAAATGAAAGGAATATTTAGTGGAATACCAGTGTGATCAAATCTTGAATGTTTGTGAGATGGCAAAATTGAATAGTGGTGGAGGCTGCCCACTCCACGCTTAAAAAGGTTGAAAGCTTCCAGAAAAATATGCAAGTTCCTTTCTTACTTTGTTACGCATCACGACTAAATTAGCAGTTTTCGACATCATACTGTAGCGAAAGTTATTCATTGGCATAAGTGTATGACACATGCTTAAATTTTAAGTGTGGGGAGTTGTTAAATATTACTGGAGATTAGAAATACGGTTACTGGTGACTGTAATTCATTTTTCGGGAAATATCCAAGAAGACACCGTGTCACCTTCCATTTCTCATAAAATTTCTCTCATGTTTCTGTAAAATATTGGATTTGAAAACGTGGAAAGCATGGAAAGCACGTTTTCAAGAAAAAAGAATTATTACTACTATCTCTTGTTTCCCAACCGGGTGGGTTAAATACTGAGCAGCCTCTTAATCTTCCAAGCTTTTCTATCGTTCTCCGTTCATATCCCTGTGAAGTCTAAACTAGCTAATGGATTGACATTTCAATGATCATATTATTTCTAGCAATTGCAATTAAGAGAAAAACATAGGAAGTCTATTTGATATTGTTGATCGTGAATTTGTGATACACTTTTCATCACTTTTTGACTTCAATCTGCCGCCCAGGAATCACAATTGTTTTTGGGCACGGGTGTTGCGGTGTCGGAGTAACAATACCTATTGTTAGATAGAGATAAGATAATCATTGTATGCATTCTTTCCATGGACTAATAATTATTACCATACCCTAGGTTCTTGAGTTTCTTATCTTTGATTTTTAGTCTTACTTTTTTATAAATTGATGCACGCTTGTACTATCCTGGAGCCTTGAACACTGATTTCAGTGCTTCTTAAAATTTCTGTTCCCCCAGTTGTCGACTTTTGAAAGTAGTTTTATAAGAGATAAGATTGTTTGCATTTAATTACTATTATCTTATGTTGTCATCGATCCTGCAGTTCTGTTGCTAATGTTCAACAAAGCAGCTCTTTCTTCTTACAATTTCCCATGCGCCAATGTCATCACTTTTTTCCAGGTAGAAAATCTGCCGAACTGATCTAATGGACTAGCTTATATTCCCTTATATTCTAAGTAATTTAGATACTAATATTGGTGATAATTTTTTGCTATTGACAGTTGCTTAATATATAAAAATATTTGTATTTGATATCATAACTAGCAACTTCATTTTTCTCCCCAAAGGTTTTTATTTGGACTTCTCGTACCTCCAATTTTTTAAATGACAAAGCCATTGTTGCGAGTAGAATCTGGTTTTCTTTCCTTGTACATTTAGTTAATTGCTCCAAAAAATTTCTTCAGATTCTGTGTTCATGCACACTTCTCTATGCACTGCGGCGCTGGAAGATTATTTCTTTCACAGTGGGTGAATCGCACAACATCAGTGCTGGACAGTCAATCCTTGTACCTTATAAGACTCTGGTTCAAACACTTCCCCTTGCTATGTCATATTTGCTCTACATGGTATGTATATTATGGTATACTATTTTCCATTTTATTTATTCCAAGCAAAATTGCAACCTTGTAAAATCTGCTAACAATTCTTTTCCTGATAAAGATTGTCACTATGGAATCTGTGCGTGGGATCAATGTTCCCATGTATACAACATTGAGGAGGACTACTGTAGCATTTACAATGATTGCTGAGTACTTGTTGACAGGGCAGACTCATTCACCTATTGTTGTTGGCAGGTAAGCAAGCATGATGTATAGATCCCTTTTCTGTGTGAATTTGGTGATTATCCAATTCTCTTTCCTAAGAAATTTATCCTTCTAATTATGTTGGACTCTTTTAATTTCAAGTTTTGCTTTTTCCTTGTTGATTTTGTGCTCTATTTTCTTTCTTTTAGACTTCCATACTTTTTAGGCAGTGTCTTGATTTTGTGTGTGTGTGTGTAGTCTAACCATATTTTAGTCTACAAAATATTTTACATGTCATCCTTGCTTTATTATTATTATTTTTTTAAAATTCATTAGATGCTCTATTGTTGATGCCTTTGGTATGCTCTAATGTTTCTCTGTCCTCCCATTACTGTCAGCTGCTTTTATCTGACACGAGTGTCTCAAATTTTGAGATATTGAGTTCTTACAGCTATTTTATTCTCTACAATTGAAGAAGTTGATTTCTTTCTTTCTTTTAAAAATCTTAGATGCTTTAGTAACAGTAATGAACTCAAACTCTCACGTCCATAAGTTTTACACATATGCAATGCTAATTGGTTTCCTACTTGATAAATCCAAGGATTCATCAGTGTGGGGATGATTATTCTTGGTGCAGTTGTGGCTGGAGCCAGGGATTTGTCATTTGACACCTATTCCTATGCTGTGGTGTTCATTGCAAATATATGTACCGCTATATATCTTGCTTTTATTGCTCGTATCGGTAATAATGATTAACTCCTTTTTTCTCATTTACCTAGCGTTGAAGTTGTGACATATTTATATGACACTTCTAAGTATTTCCAGGGAAATCCAGTGGACTGACTACCTTTGGCCTAATGTGGTGCAATGGTAAGAACTAAGAGGGTCTTTATTTATTTATTTTTGAACAATGATCTCAATGTTGTGAAGCTTTTGGATTCATCTTATCTGAACTGACTACAAAGAGGTTTTTCTTATATTTGTAGGGTTAGTATGTGGGCCTATTTTGCTAATCTGGATATCAATCAAGGGAGACATTGAAACAACCTTAAATTTTCGTTACCTATATTCCTTGGGCTTCCAGGTACCTGCTTCGCGTATTGTATTGTTCAGAAGCTCTGCTTTAGTCATGCCTTGGCCACTTGAACAATAATAATAATTCATAACTTGGTGAAGAAACATGAGTTTACTCGCAATCTTCTTTTCTCTAAAACTGAGTTAACTGTATTAAACCTTCGTTGTTAAATAAATGGATTACGTCAACCAATTTACAGAACAAGCAGCTATAGACAGTGGTTTTTGTCCATTCCAATATATATCGCAAAACTATCTAATGTGTCTGTTCTTTCATTTATGTAATATGTATGAATGGCTTTCTTCTTCCTCTTTTCTACTATTAATGTACCCTTAAAAGAGTTACAATGATTAATATTTTTCTGTACCATCAAAATCTCGTTTGAAATTTTTGGTATTCTGAACTTCTGAACTCAATAATTGCTTGCTTGTAGATTTTATGGGCGAAGCGATTCATGCTTGTTTTTGTTCTTAATTTCTTACCTTTATTCATGCTTGCAGTGTGTGATGTTTCTCTCCTGTATAATGGCTTTCTTGATCAACTACTTTGTATTTCTGAATACAACTCTCAATTCAGCACTGACACAAACAGTCTGTGGTAATTTGAAGGTGAGCATTGCTTTGTTCCATGTGAATCTATTTTGATTTTAAAATTTTGATGTGAATTTCTTCCTACAATACTGCGATGTGGGGTACAGTCTATCTGGACCAACTAGTTGGAGTCTTCCTCACAATTAATCTGCTCTAGTTTTCAGAGTCGTAAAGATGACATGGCCAATATTTTTTTGGTTTTGTTTCCTTCTCCATGTAAATCTGCAGATGCATACTAAATGCTGCTAGCTGGATGAATCTTGATGTGGTTAAATTTTGCACTAAATCGATTATCGATCAGTACATGGTTATGTTTGTCGTAATAAGCATTAAAATAAGTACATACCCGCCTCCTGACTAGAATATTATGTTCCATTCGTATGGCTAATTTTAATATCTAAGATTTGAATTTTTTCCTTCCGAGTGCTTCAACAGTAAAACCGTTAAAAGAGCTAATAATAAGACACTGGCTTTCCAAGGGTTAGGCATAAGTCCCTCTCTTTCTTTGGAGGACAACTATCAATACAGGATTTCCTTCCTCCATGGAGGAAATCTTTCCTTCACCTCGTGGAAGGCCATGATATTCTTTAATTAGAAGTTCATACCTAATTTGTATGAAAAAGCGCAAATACCTGCTTCCTGGAAAAGAGCTTCCTGAATGAAGGGTGTATTCCTTGAATGGATGCAGAGGATTTATTTGACCCAACATTTTCACCAAGTTTCATCAATGATGTGGGAGTACTAATTTGAAAACTCAGTGGCTTGGTTCAAACTGTTTGTCAAGATCTTATTGATGCTGAATTAGTTAGTTGGTATGCGAACACATCTAGGCAAGTGCTTCTTGGCTTTGGATAAACCAAGTTTTTGGGGCTTTCCTCTGTTTACTTACCAGAAATATGAGTGTTTAAGGAAATCTGCACTTGCTGAGGAGATTATGCTTGTTTTTCTGACTTCTGAATGCTCTGTAATATAATAGGATGTTTTCAGCATCGGGCTTGGCTGGTTTCTGTTCGGCGGGCTTCCCTTTGATTTGGTGAGGCAATCTCTTTACTTTAAAAGCTTTGATCCACAGTTTGTTGTTGTTCTTTTTTTTAATGTTGTTAACTTTTCTTTTTTATTTTTTTGTGGTTTTTTTAGTTTAATATTCTTGGCCAGTCACTTAGCTTTATGGGATCTGGCTTATATGCCTATTGCAAGCTTCATGGGAAATAAGGTGTCAAGATGGGGCCTCCTCCTGTGCCTTGACTCAATCCTTACACAGAGATACACAGTAAGTTAATATTTGCTGACTACTGCTTGCGTGTCAGCTGCCAAATTTTGATGCAATCGCTGCAGGTTATTGTGAAAAGATTAAAAAAAAAAGTTGTAGAATTGCATATATTTCTGCATGGATATGTAGAAAACATCAAGTTTCTTTTCTAATATAAGTTTCTAGCGAATCTCTCTCTCTCCATCTCCCCGAACACATTTCTCTCTCACTCGCACGCATTCTCCCCATCTCACACACGCTCTCTCCGATCTCTCCCTCTCTCTTTCTCGATCACTGACACGCGCACGTGCGCACACACATTCTCTCACTGGCTCTCTCACACGCACACTCTCTCGTTCTCGTTCTCGTTCTCGCTCTCACTCTCATACACATATACATACACTCTCTATCTTTCTCACTCTCACGCACACCATACACACTTTCTCAAACTCACTCCCCCACAGAGAAGTTCTACTACTATGGGAGTAGCATACTTTGTTCACACTATGGTTTTGTTTTTATTAATGATTTTTAATGTCTGTGAATCGTACATCATTTTTAATACGATGCTGACGTGACAAGTAGTGAATGGAAGGAATATCTATACTGTTAGTACCAAAAATTTGTTACCTCTTCACACGACTCTCCCTCAATTACACACATGAACGCGCGTGTTTCACATTGTCCATGCCCCAAAAAGAGAGAAATAAATTTACTTAGACTTACGATAATCTAGTCCATACTCACACAATGCAATCCATTGCACATGTCGCACTGGTCCTATAGTGTGGGTTTAGGTATTATATTATTGTACGTTTAAATATTTATTGGATAAAACTTAAGTGGTGCTTATCGATAATAGATATCTTCCTACTTACCATCATTGAAAAATGAAAAAAACACTCCTAAATTCATATGTGGTCTAATAGCATATAAACAAGTGGATCATATCAGAATTATACAAAATTAAAAAATCAACTTGTTTATATCTTACTGGATCATACATGAATTCAGGAGGAGCTTCCTTGAATAAGAGAGAAGATTTGTCTTTGAGAAACTGACAGCTATTTATTCTCCTCTCTTTTTTTCTTGTAAGCATCTAAATTTTATCTATCTCTCTGAAATTTAGCTCTGAGTTTAGATTAGTGCTGCCCACCAACCCTCTCAGGCCTCTCTTCAAGTTCAAAACAACTCTACTTTTGATGATGATCTTCAGTACAAATCTAATTTTCTCTTTTTGCTCTTTTTGCTCTTTTCATATTTGTTATTTTTAGTAGATGAATTGAATGTATGGTTGTTTATAAGGATGAAACGTGTGTTTGTTGTTTTTTCCCACAGTGAGTACACCAGCTCACTTTTGTTTCTGTTTGGCTTGCCCAGTTGAAACATGACCCCGTTACTTTTCAAAAAAAGCATCTTCAAAGTGCTTCTCTCCTTCAAATTTTGAACATTACCATAATGTTATGTTACAGTCCCAACCCAACCCATCCCTTTCTTGCTTATTTCAGTCCTGTGATGTTCCCTAGGGGCCAAATGAAGTTCTCTTTTGAATGTGTATGTATTTGGAATGGTTATTGGAAATAGCACTTCTAGAAAAAGAAAACACACACACACAAGAAAAGTGCTTCTTTAATATGCTAACACTGGTGATTCTTTTTTTTAATTAGTTAAAAGGATTAATAGTATGCTATTAGGTCAAGGAGAAACGGGTAGAAAGTGAAAGAAAAGGAAATAAGGTAGTTTAGTTTAATTAGTGCAAATATGTGATTGTATGTGATAGGAGAAATATTTGATTGTATGTATATTTATGGTTGCATAAAATGAATTAATAGGAAATGGAGGAATGTAGTGGAGTGGAGTGGACAAGCTGGTCAAATATTCCCATTTTAGTAGGAAATGGGAAGAACAAAGCATGTTTTTTTTAACTTTATTTGTTTGGAAAAGGGGTTATCAAGAAGTCTCATGAGTGGATCAACCTGCATATGCATGGGTTGATCTCTTTTCTTCCCGCTCCCTTTAACCTACTGTTATCATTAGATACCATTTTGCGCATAGCTAGCGAATAAAACACTTTTACCTCTCCGAAAAGATCACAGGTTCAATCAAACTACACGACTCATGAAAAAACAAGTAAGTGCTTGGAATTAATTAGATCATGATATTTTGAGTTCTTACCAATTCCTTTCTAATGAGCAATCGATGAATTAGAATTTAAGTTTAAGCTTGCCACCCCTCCCAATAAACACTTTAGAAAGAAAAAAAAGTGTCAAATGGGATGAGAAAATGAAAGTGTTTTAAGGCGTGAGGGAATATGTTTGGATCGTGGCATGCGAAGTTTATCTCCTCGAATAATGAGAGAGAGCGCGCGAGAATACTTTTGAACTTTTTATGAAAAGGGTGTTTTGTATTTCTCTAGATGATATTGTTTGTTGAATGAGGAGAAGGGGAACATTGACTCATGACTATAAAGGGAGAAGAGAGTGAAGGAAAGAAAAAAGAGTAATTATATAGGCAAAAGCCCTAGGACTGTGTCTCCTTGGTGCAGGGCCAAAGGCTGGTCTCTCTTTATAGCATGGGCCTTCATCTCCCATATACCCTTTCTTTCATTTGCTTCCAACTTGCTGTCTATAGGCTCTCTTTTTTCTTTTTCCTTTTTTTTTTTTTCCTTCCATTGCTCAATCAATCAAAATCGACGAAACTCACCGATCAAACATGGTTTTGTTTTTTTTAGTACAACTATTAGAGGTGTGAGGACTCCAAAGATATATGTCAAATATCGCTGAGCTAAAGCTACTGTTGACGATGTTTTTGGTGGATTCAGTTGGATAAAACATAATAAGTTAAAAATAGCCACAGTCGATTAGATTGTGATAACTAGGTTTCGTTGATTTTGATTAGTTTTTGTTTGTTGGTGTCGCATTATTCTTAATCTTCTTAAATATAGATAGATGAGTGAAAGCTAGTTTTTGGTGAAATTTTGGTTAAAAAATCAATTTACTTAGACCTCCAACTATGCGCTGAAATGAAGAAATTCTAACTTCGAAAGATTGTGAAAGGTGATGAAGATTTATTAGAGAGAATATAATATTGAAGTGCATGCGCAAATTAAAGAACTTTATTTTTGGTAGGTTTAGTGGGAAGGCTTTTGCAAAAATTTCAAAGTTGTGACACAATCAAGACCATATAGCCAAGCTATATATGATTATTTACATCTAAATCATTGCATATAAAATAATGTATGTCATTTTTATGAGCACTATTTTTAAAGTTTAGTTTCTGACCCCATTTCATCTCTATTTGTCGGTAAAACAGAAGGAAAGAAAATGTTCCAAAAGAGATCAACTCTCTAAATCATTATTTCCCCCAAAAAATTGAGTACTTTTAAAAAAAAAATTGATTCGACAAGTCAGCAGTTAAACACAATTACATAATGTGCCTTTTTTTTATTTTTTAGTTTTGAGAGATTATTAATTCCACGTGGCCGCAATATTTAGTAGATTAGTTGTTTTAACGTTATAGTTATAGATCTACCAACATGCTACATCAATATTTCATTCAGAAAAATAGTTAGATCCAAGAACCTAAGGTGTACTCAACATCGTTAAATTTTTTTCTTCCCAACATGAGCTTAGCTCAACATTGTTGTCACCTATTTTCAACCATGAGGTAATTGTGAGTTCAAATCTTCCGTCCCATTTGTATTTAAAAAAAAAAAAACAACAACATCACTCTTTTTAGAAAAATAATGTGAGTTGTCAATTTTCAATAGTTGTCAAAATAAGTAATAACTACGAGTGTAATTCACTAATATGTAAATAAAGTTTTCCAAATTTGAGAACCAAATTGATACAATAAGCGAGATAAACAAAAAAACCAAAATTTTTTCTTAGAAGGGAATCTAGTTATCAAATAGAGATTTTCTGATATCGCGAGACTCGATTCTTAATAATGAAGTATAGGGTAAGAAAACGGATTTAAAAATTCCTCTAGGGTCGGGACCGGAGACTACAACACCCCACCTCAATGCCATCTCTAAACCCTAAATATGACAAAAACATGTAAGATGAACAAGTTGAAATTAAATATATATGGAAAAAGGAGAAAAATAAAGTTATATTATAGATGATGAAAAGGGGATTTTTTGCATAAATTATTGAGGGAATCCAAACAAGAAGAGTGGAGTGGAGTATGGAGTGGGAGAGGGCAGGCAAAAGGGTCCCAAAGCCTGCAATCTTGAGAACCAAAAAGCTTGACATTAAAAGAAACTCTACTTTGTTTTTTGAAACATGGATTGTGATCACATTATTTCCACTTTTAATTTCTTCTCGGTGTTTATAAATGGACAAACGAGAATGAATTTTTAATATATGAACCACAGATTAGGATGAAGAGGAGGAGAAGAAGAAGATTCGGAGATAAAAAAGAAAAAAAAGAGCGATGTTGGTGTAGTTCAATCTGAAGGCCGAGTTTTGTTTTCGACCTAAAATTCTGTCTCTGATTGAGCCGCGCCAATATCACTTCATTATTCCTTCAATCTTTGCCATCTTCGCTCTCTTTATTTGGATCTCTCTTGAGATATATGCTGTTTGTTTTCTGTTTTTACTGTGCGTTAAATATTGTGCATTATGCATGGCAATGTTGTAATTTTTTTACGCTAAACTGCTTTCACTCTCCCTACTTCCAACCAAAATTACGATTGCCGAGTAATTTTTACAAGGAGAGAGACAAAATTTTGTATTCTAATTAACTATATATATAATTGTTTATTTTGAAACTTTTCAGGATTAGAGAAAATTTCTTTAAGCAAAAGCATCACCTTTTTCAGAATGTCAGACAGAGACAATGGGGAAGAAAAATGATGGCTGTTGGTGGCAACAAAGAGATCATATATACATATGTATATATATCACATATCATCAGGCGGCGCCCGGAAGTCCCCCACGGTGGCTCCGCCACAAGCACCAATGCTTAGTATCAAGTGATCTCCCATGCATTTCTCTCTTTTTTCTTTTTTTTTAGTATAACATGTTGGGGTGGGATTCGAACTCACACCCTCTTGGTTGAAGGTATATGTCAATTATCGTTGAGTTATGTTCACTTTGGCTCTCATGCATTGCTTTGCTTTTAAGATACCGTATAATATTTATTCCAACTATAAATATCATTTTCCAACCATTCCATTATTAATATAGGTGTTATCTTGGGTTGGTCCATTAGTTTAAAGGAACAAAGTAGAAGGATTGAGTTCAAATCATAGTGGCCGTTTATCTAGGATTTAATATGTTACAACTTTCCTTAGTAACCAAATATAGTAGGATTAGACAATTATCCCGTGAGATTAGCAAGAACTATGCACAAACTGACCCGAATACTCACAGTTATCAAAAGTAAAATTATTAATATATTTTAGTTAAATTGATAAATGGTGATGAATATTGAATAGTACTTAAGTATACTTTTTTTTTTTAGTACAAGTACTTAGGTATACTTACCGATTAAAAAAATATCATTTACTAACTATACTATTAGAAATGTGACAGTTATATATATATATATTTGTTTGAAAAAAAAAATCTCTCTACTTAAGTATTATTCGATTGTAAAACTCTCTTATGCTGTACCACTCCATGGGATGATTGGTTGATTTTTCAATATTTCGAAAGTATATACTCCTCCACTCACCGTTTGACACATCATTAAATAATATTTTATTCATTATGTATTATTTAATTCATTATGTATATCCTTATAGTATTATAAAATTTCCCCATTGACCTAGAGGCTTTTTTTTTTTTTTGGATAGAATCTGTGGTGATCATGGGAAAAAAAATCGAATAAGAACTTTTCTATTAGCTACCACTAAAAATTTAATAATCACCTTTTTTTTTTTTAGAAATATGCGTGTATATGTTTATCCATCCCCTTATTTTGGTTCACAAGTTTACATATCCATGTAAAAAGTTAAAAAGTTAAAAGTTAAACCTGATAATTTATTTGTTTAAGATAAATGGATATCTATTTCTCTAAGACATGGCCTTAAAAAGAAGAAATAAATTCAACCCATGTGACTAAATTCTAGCAAACTTTATGTTGGTCGTATGTTTACTAAATTCTAGCAAACTACGTGGATTTAGAATCAACAAATAACACTATAAGAAAATGTGTCTATTGCAGCAGGTAAACTGTCGCTGTAACATGTTACGACTGTATCAAAATCACCATCATAGAAGTCAAAAAAATGAGCGAGAGATCACGATATGTATCTCAAATTTGTATCCAATGGTTATTAGACCGGAGCAAACAATTTTGCTTGTCCATCAAACGGTTTATTAATGTAGCAACCTCAAAACGATGTAGTCCCAACCATCAAAACTTTGGTATCCAGTTGAAGAGAAAAGAGTAACATAATAAATGAGAAAAAACTTTGCAAAGAAAAAAAAAATAGTAAATGAGAAGAACCCGAGATTGATTGTAGATGATAGCCAGAAATATAAACCTATGGTCACAAGAAGCAGAATGGCCGATAATTTCAAACTCAGAGCAACTTTGTCATTCTTGAGGCTGCCAAATAATGATTTCTTAAGATTTCATTTATCAAAATAACAATAGAAAAACAGCCATATAATGAAATTCAAATGTTCCAAGTTGATGGTTAGCTTTCTAAGAAGAAGAATTTCATGTACCTTTCTTCATCCACCTCTACTTTCTGCTCTGAAGAACTCCAAGAATCAAAGTTCTTACAGCAGCCTACGACCAATCATCAATGTCGATGAATGACTCCGACATTCATGGGGGAGGTTCTAATGTTTTTCGGTTGAGTATATGTTAGCTGATGAAGTCCTTCCGGTTTCTTTTTTCGTCGACCTTGTTGCGACAAGCGAGAATGATATGTTAGGATGGCAAGGTCAGAAAGGTCCTGTAGCGGAACGAGAACCTTCACAACTTCATCCATGGTGGGGCGAGATTTTGGATCTCTACTGATGCAGTGAGAAGCTAGACGAGAAACTTTTTGAACCGCTTGCATGGAGTAGTTGAGCTCCAAGCGAGGGTCTATTATATGGTAAAGCTTCCTTTTGTCATCTAAATATGGCCTGGCCCATGACACTAGGTTCTGCTCTCCACTTGGACGTTTCTTGTCCATTGATCTCCTCCCCGTTAAAATCTCTAGTAGCACGACCCCAAAGCTATAGACGTCACTCTTCGATGTCAAGTGACCTGAAAAATAATTAGGAGCCAAAGAAAATACTCATAATGTCATAATCAATACAGTTAGAAGTATATAATAAGGGTGTTTTTCGAAGTGCTTTCAACAGGATTAAAAGAACATTTCTAAGAAAGAACCCGTAGAGTACTTAAAATTCAAGTGCTCGACTAGGAAGCACTCCAAAAAAGTGCTTTTAGTAGTGTAAAACCAAACATCAACTAGTACGTTGGTACTTTATACTTGAGTATTTATAACTCATGAAAAGGGAAAACTTTTGCTAAAAGCTCCAAGAGCACTCCAAAACACATCCTGAATGCTTTATCCACATCAAAGATTCATTTTATAACAATCCATTTCATTTAACTGTATTCTTATGTCTTGTTCACTATTTCTTTTCCCCTTTCTTTCTATTTTATTAATAAATTGACAAATCAAATTAAGTTCTTAGTTGTTTCATAATTCAATTTCTAATGAGATTTCCTTACCAGTCATTAGATACTCTGGTGCAGCATAGCCATATGTTCCAACTACTCTGGTGGAAACATGTGTTTTGTCTCCCTGAGGCCCAGCCTTTGCCAAACCAAAATCCGAAAGCTTGGCATTGTACTCCTGCAAGATTTTTCATGGTAAGATATATTACGCGGTTATCCAAAAGACTCGATTTTACCAGTAACGTAATGTTGATAAGTACCGTATCAAGCAATATGTTTGATGTCTTGAAATCTCTATAAATGACAGGTTCTGGACCATTGTGGAGGAAGGCCAAGCCTTTGGCTGCGGCAAGTGCAATTTTAATCCTATTTGACCATGGAAGAGGTATTGTCCCTTCAAAAGTTGTCAACACTATCAGCAATTTTTCTTTGAACAAATATGTAAAACACAGAACAAATATGTAAAACACAGTATCACAACATTCTACATGATCCAATCTAGCATATAAGAGAATAATCTCTACAAATATCCAACTATAGTCTTTATTACTATTAAAAAAATGCAGTAAGAATACCAGAGACCATTCTTAATTTATGGACTAATGTCATGTTTTTGGAGGATGCTTAAGTAGTTTTGTCATGACTAAAATGGAAGTGATTTATCTGTGCTTTTGGAAAAGGTCAAATGCACTTAAAAGTTGTTAGGTGAGACCCACTAGTGTCTTAAACCAAGTGGCCATTTAGAGAAGGGCTTCAAAGTGCTTTTAATTTAGAGTTTAGAATCAAATATCAAAATAATTTATCGTTAAGTACGAGTAAGCAAGCAAGTTATTAGCAAACTAACTGAAACCAACTAACAACTAAAAGCCAGCGAGCAGCAAAAACAGAATTACAAAATTACTCTCCTAATTACACTTAAATCACTACACAACCCAACTTACTCAGCTCTTTAGATAAACAAATAATTATCCTCAATTACTCTGTCATGTCACATATTTAGATTCATTCCTAATAAAAAAAGTTTAAATACTATTTTGGTCTCTATACGTTTAGATTTAGTTTAATTTGTTCCTTGTACTTTCAAAATGTCTATTTTTGGTCATTCTACTTCTAACTTTTATTCATTTTAGTTCTGGTACTTTTAAAAAGTGACTATTTTGATCCCTATTCGTAGAATTTTAGCACAAATTTTATACATGATAAAAACTCTTTAATACAAATTTATGAATCTATTTCAAAAAATTTAATGAGTTAAGTCTCATGCTAAAATTTTGATCGAAACAAATAAGATAAAAATGAAAATAAAGGAACAAAATAGTCTTTTAAAAGTGTAGAGACACCAAAACGAAAGTTCCACCAAAATAAATATTTTGAAAGTACAAGGACAAAAATGAAAACCAAAGCCGAAATAACAGGGACCCAAATAGTATATAAACCAATCACGAAAGATAAATAATCATAATGGTGATAAAGTTTAAACAGTAGCTGAATTCCACAATCTTCTCATAAAAAACTACACTTTTGGTGAGATTACGATAGCTTCCAACCACCATTTCTACAAAAACCACTAGAGAGGAATGAACAGTAAAAAAGGAAAATGAAGAGAAAAGTTTCTTTTGTAATTTCTCAAAAAAGGTAGGTAAAAGTAGGGAGAGATTTTACTGTTGTTCCAATAAATTTGTCCAAAGGACAACATCTCCATATGCCATAATTACAAGGTTAAAAGTGGATGTGTTGGTCTGAAAAAGAAGCAGTAATGCAAGAGGACAAAAGAAAGAAAAAAAAAGACTAGTAAAGATCCCACTTACTTCTGAAAAGATGGTTTTCAAGACTACCACGCGTCATAAATTCATATACAAGAAGCCTCTGATCATCTTCAATACAGTATCCAATAAGCTTAACAAGATTGGGATGGTGAAGCTGTCCAAGAAAGCTAACCTCAGCCTGCATTAATGGAGATTTATATCTATGAGTGTCCAAGCCAGTTTACAAACACCGTAAACTGAACTTATATCAATATATTTACATAATCATTGCTAACATGTGTTCTTCCTTTGATCGATGATACATGTGTTAACTAGTTGAGATTTGCTCTAGTTGGCACTCATCTATCCTCTTTTAAAATAAAATATGCTAAAATCATATCCTCTTTTAGAATAGTAGAGATTTATATTCGTGAGTGTTTGAGCCCATTTACGAGTACCTATGTTAGAAAAACAAAAATCATACCCATTCATCTACATAATCATTGCTAACATATCTTTTTTCAGAATAAAATATACTAAGATCAATCATTTGATTCCGAGTTTATAGACCATTTTGGAATTTCATGAGTTGATATTCATGCCTTTAGTTAATTTCCCTACTAATCAAAAGTTTCCATTTTTATCTTTAGACAGTCTCTAGTATCCTACCATTAAATCCTCTTTTCTTTATGGTTTGGGCATAATTTCGATTTCATCATTATGGTTTAGAAGTTTTAATTCAATAATTATGATTCGAGCAATTTAAAAAGGCTTCAATTTAGTCTCTATACTTTAGTCAAATCTCATCATCCTTATCGAGTGATAATGAGTTGATATTCTCTACTTCCTTAGTGTACAAGTAAAACATAGAAAAAATATATGAGTTTTCAGTGGGTAGGAAGTGGTTTAGGGATGATTTTGTGAATTTGTGAGGTTTAACGATAATAGGCATCAAATTGCAACTAGAGACTAAATTCAAACTTTTAGACCTACAGTGATCACGTTGAAATTAAGCTTGACCAACCCATATAGACCAAATTACAATTTAACTTAAAATTAAAATATTGTAATTAGCTCAAAGCAGGAAATAATTGAAAGATGAAACTGAAGAAAAAACATAAAAAGAAAAAAAAAAAAAAAAGGAAGAAGTTCAAATGCGAACCTCCCATTCTCTGTGCCCTTGTAGACCATCGGGTTTCAAGCTTTTGACGGCCACTGTGATTCCGGATCCAGGTTTGGCCGGCCCCGTCCCGTTCTCTTCTATCCATCCTTTGAAAACGAACCCGAACCCTCCTTCTCCGAGAATGCTGTCCGGTCGGAAATTTCCGGTCGCTGATCTTAGCTCCTGAAATGAAAATTTTAGAAGCTGCCGTTTACCTCTGTCCTCCAACGGCAGCGGCGGAGCACCGTCGAAGGATAGCCGAGCTTCGGCCGGGGCGCAAAAATCTCGGTTGCTGGCGTTTAGGTACCGCGTTTCGGTAGCTGTAAATGCAACGCAAGAATGACTAGTGTAAATTTATGTTATAAAGTACCAATAAAGACTAAAATAGCTATTTTTTTTTTGTTAATCCGGACATTTTAAAAATATACGGACGAAAATAAATTAAAGTTGAAACAATATAATCAAAATGAATCAAATCATACATTAAAATATCAAAATGGTATTTTAACAAATTATTTATTGATTGATTAACAATATTAAGTATGATGTGGGGTGAGTATTTCAACCTCGAATCGAAGATATATTCTATCTAGATGAACTATGTTAGCTATTACACTTATTGATTTTTTTTCTTTTTTTGTATAACAATTGAAAGTGTGGAAATTCGGACTCATAATTTATAGATAAAAAATAAGTGTCAATTACTACTAAACTTACCTGAACTCATGTTGGTTGCTACACTTAGTATAAAACAATTCAATTAGTGTAGAACAGTTAAGTTAGTACTATACTAATTGAATTATTTAAAGATTACATTGTTGGGATGATTTTAAGTAAATTAAAAAATTTTGTGGTACAAACATGAAGTGATTGAGTTAGCAGAAGAATTTCATTCAAGAATCAATATAAAAATATTTTCAAAGTATAAAGACTAGATTAGTCAACTTCATATTATACATTTATTTAAATTCGTATCAATTTAAGCATATCTTACTCAAAAAAAATAAAAAATAAAATAAAAGAGAAAGAAACGCATGAATTCCCACCCACCTTTGTTATATTAAAAAAAAATGCCAAATGAATAATTTAACCTATGCTGAGAAAAGAACACCGAAATTGTAACATCAAAATAGAAAGATTCACCCTAAATAACACTTTGACTAACAACATTTATGATGAGAATACAAACATCCATTAAAAAGTTGTATAAATTTTAGGTATATATGATCAAAGAACAGTATCTACACAACTACAGAGTTCCAAAAAATGTTGCAGCCTTGGCTCAGAATCTAGAGAGAGAGAGAGAATCATAGAATTTCAGTGTAGCAGCTTTAGATCAGAATCCAGACACACAGAATTAATTTTCTGAAAACTGAGATTTTCTGAAAATTCGATATATATACCTATAATCTTCTAATTTTACGAATCCTTCTACTATAATCTCTAATGTCAGACCCAAAAAAAAAAAAAAGAATAGTACTCTGTTTTCTGCCACCATTACAGAGCAAACCCAGAGAAAGAACTCTTCCTAAAAAAAACCCAACAAAAAAAAATCAAAAATCCATTTTTCCCATCATTCCCCCAGAATCCACACCTCCCCAATCAATAAAACCAAGAGAAAAAACAGAAAACAGTGGAATTTAAAAAAAGAAAAAAAAAAGAAAAAGAAAACAGAGCATTCTGAAAAGTAGGGAAAATTTGAAGTGGAAGTGTACCTGCATCGTATACTAAGGTAGCGCGAGGAATGGAGTGTTTGGAAGAAGCAGAGGATTTGGCATCTGAAACGCTGCGTTTAAGGACGCTCCAGCAGCCGCAGTTTTCGTCCATGGCCGTGCCTCTGATCTCTTCCTTAGAGGAAGCTCCTCTCATGGAGAGTGGCTATGGCGAAAGTGGAGACAGAGAAAAATGGGGGAATTTTAGATTTTTCTTTATTTATTTATTTATTATTATTGTTTTTCTTTTTATTTTCTCTCTTTTGGTGTTGGTGATTGCAGGCATCATCATCACCATCATCACAATTTGTGTACAAAAAGAACTTTTTTGGCCACCACTCCCTTTTTACTCTCTCTCTCTCTCTCTCTCTCTTTCTCACTCAATTTTGCCTTTGATATAATTGTTGAAATTTAGGCATATTCTTACAAATATAAATGCTAGAAAAAGATTGATTCACTCGGTTTAATTTATTGAAATTTGTGAATTTGGAGAGATTTTTACTGTATTCTTTTCAAATTTGTTGGTTGAAATTAATGGAAGGATGTAACTAAAGTTGAACAAGTGAAAAAAATTATCGGTACGTCATCTAAGTCTAAGGATTAATTTGATGAAATTGAAAATTAAAAGTAAAATTTGATTAAGCTTTTCGAGTTGGATGAATGGGCTCGAAAAGTGTTTAGGGCGTAGGTGCGGCACAAAAGGCTAAACATGTTAAGTATATGAGTCTAAGCCAGAGGGTTTTGAAAAAAATTGTGCGGGAAGTGAGTTTTAAAAAACTATTTAAACTTATGGGTTTGTCGAATAAATCCTAGACTTACAAATCTACTAAATAAATGATCTTAAATTAAACTCACCCAAATTCAAACCTCACGCGGAACACACGTTTAACATATTATGATTTTTGGGGTTGTGACACCTAGCATGAAGTAACCTAGTTAGTTATTTTGTATTCTCTTAAATTTGAAAACAACGAACTCATGCTTTTATCAATATGAGCTTAATTCGGCGCTAATTAGTATTATCTCTAGCTAAGAAGTAATAAGTTCGAATTTCCCACTCTCATCTAGTTTACTCAAGAAAAGAAGGCTTTTGAACAGTTTACATACATTTTCCATGGTATTAATATATATACCCAATTGCCCCCATTAATACTTTGGTTGGTTACGTACTCAAAAAAGGAAAAATAAATAAATACTTTGGTTGGTTACCAAACACGAGAATGAGATTTGTATACACAATAATCCAACGTATTTGATTTTCAATTTGGCTATGTTGTATTAATAATCAATCTTTCCCAAAGCAAACATAAATCAACACTAATTAGTATACACCTCCCATCAAGATGTTGTGAGTTCAAATCTCCTCCCAACCTGTTGTACTAAAAAAACAATTAATATCAATTTTAATTAGGTAACAAATTTATACTCTATAATGTTCAATATTTCTGAAATATATAAATTGGTTTAATGCCGCTAAATTGAACCTAACTCAACTAATTAAGTCAACTATCTTCAATCAAGAAGCTGTAAATTAAAAAAAAAAAATAACATTTGCTACAAAATAAATCAGAATTCTTGTGTTTGAACTGGACCAATGGTACAAATCATTCATGTAAATTATATTAAGATGCCATTGGTGGATGGGACAATTGCCCTGAAAGAATGTATTTTGATTGATGTGAAGTTGCTTGTTGACTATGCCTTCCACCACCTTAAATTTAGTGTATCTATAGTTACCCAAACCAATTAAATCAAGATTTTTGAATAATTTCATTTGTTCCTTCATACCCTTAAACAATTATATCAATATTAACATAAAATTATAGTCGATTCGATCAAATAATTTCAAATTAATTTGTCGAGTAAATTAAGAAAATTAATATACATAGTGCCTTGATGATCTGAGACACAATAGTTTTTTTCTTTGCCTATATTTAAAATATTTATTTGTGTATTGTCACTCTCTAAATCTATATTTTTCAATTCTGAATTTTAGGTCAAAACACTCCCTCTCCAAGCATTTAATTTGGGCTGGGCTTCTAGAAAGGAGCTCTAATTTGGGTTGGGCCTAAAGTCATTCCAGTCATCCCTTGAGGCCCAAATCACAAAAGCTTCATTAATATTCATTTAAATATGAGTAGAAAAAAAAAACCTGTCATATTTGACAATATAGCAAAAGATTTTCTAATTTTACAAACATCATAAAATTTTTTAAATCAAAATTTTGGTTTTGTTTGTTATTTCAATTTTTTCCGATATTATGTATATCAATTATACTGATATAACTGTATACATAATATTAGTTATATTAAAATATAATTGATACACTTCATTTTTTGTTGTTGTCAAAACGAACCTAACTTAGCGGTAATTGACAATTGAAACTAAATTTATATTTTTTACTATATTCATAAAAAATAAAAAGGTTGTTAGCTATATCTGCAATTAACTAGTAAGCCTTTAAATATTAAAAAATAACGGAATTAGAAAAATAGAATTTATTATTAATTTAATTAGTTTACGTATTCCTTTTTTATACCGATAGGGAAGAACGTACGTTCAGACTCGGGCAACAATATCCAGAATGTTAGAACCAATAAGAAGCGAACACGTGTCAAGCACAGGAGAAATTTCAAAACTTTCCTTCTTGCCGTTCGTACGACGTGTCGTTTTTTGAGTTGTCCGTTCTTTTTCTCCAGCACCTTACCTGATCGCGGAGAATATGCACCCCAAGATCGCACTCTTCGCAGCCATGAACGAGGAGGAGCCCAATTCTCAGAGCTTCGGATGCTAAAATTCCTCTCTTCCCGGAGAGAGAACGTGACAACGAAAGCCCTAATTCGATTTCGTATCTCGGAGGCAGAAATCCCAAGAAATTGAATTTTCAGTCTGTTGATTTGTTTATGGTCGCTGAAATCGAGAGGCGTCTGGACTAACCCCGATCGTTTCTCTGCTTTTTTTTTCCTCCGATTTTGCTAGATTGATATTTCTGAGTTTTATTGAATTGGAATTGTTGGCCATGTTTTGGTTTGGATCCGATCGAATTGCTGCATGAATTGGACGGAAGGTTTGGTTGCGGATCGAGCGCTTAGAGAGTAGAGGAAGCAGAGCAGCGGCGCTGAAACATGTCTGCCATAGTGTGCGGGAAGAGATCCTTATTTGAAGACCTGCCTACACCTCCCGTCTCTAAGAGAATTCGTTGTTCATCTTCTTCGCCTGTGCGGTTTTCGCCTCCGAGGTCATCGAATCAGTCTACTTTTCCTTTCCCCCCGACGTCCTCCTCACAGTCGGCTCATTTAGTCGATTATCTTAGTGCCATTTTTCCTGACATGGATAAACAGGTCTGTTCTGATAAGAACCTCTCTTCTAATGAGGAAATATGAATTCCAAATGCTTTAAGCATTTCACGCACTTTATTGATTTGAAATATCACGACTCTTGTTCGTTATGAATATAAAAATGAATGATGCAAATACTGTGAAGACATTTCTGATGAGGGATTTTTTACCCCCTTTTTAATTAAATGGAGTGTATACTTGAACACGTACCTAATTGCTTGGAAACTGAAATTCTAGCTTCTGGAGAGAGCACTTGAAGAATGTGGTGATGATCTAGATTTAGCCATCAGAAGTTTGAACCAGCTTCATTTGGGGTTCAATGACAGAAACTTGGGAAGTGCTTCAAACAGCGCCGACATAGCTTTGGAAGCAAATGTTCTACCTCGACCAGAAGGTTTGTATTTGATATCTATTGAACTTCATATTGGACTTAGTAATTATATTCTCGATGCTTGAAATTGGTTTATAGGGAATATTTTCTATTGTACAACCTTGACGTATTTGGAAGTGTTATATTTACTTGATAAACCTCTTGTGCATACAGACTCTGTACTTCTCATAGGAAAGGAATAATTGGGATTCATTATGCGAGTTCATAAAAAGGATGTTTGGGCTTATAGGTTAGATTTACGTTACCAAAATTTAGAAGTGAAACTTACATTTGGTATGTGAATTTGCTTGTAATGGGTTTATTAATTTTATAAACTACAAGCTCACCAATTCTATAGGCTGCATAAACTCAGTATACATAAATACAAATTTATGAAATTCATCTTTTATGCTGTATATTAACTTTTATGAAAACATAGGTTACATAAACCCAAGCTTCTATATCAAATTCATTTACACAATCCAAATATAGATTATACAAGTTTAAGTGTTCCAGTTCTAAGCTCCGTCAAATAAAATCTTATTAAAACCATGAACCAAAACCTCCTTAGATTGTGTATTTTTTTTTGTTTCACATTTCTCAGTACAGCTAGCTAGGTTTGTCTCATTCACTACAAAATCTGGATTTTTGCAAAATCTTTTAACTCTTTTCAATTTGAACCTTTGAAATTATTTTTATACTGCTTGCTTCATCAACTTGACCTGGATTACCAAATAGTGGTTCCATCCAAATTGATAACTAACTAGAAGGGAATTGCTGGGCAAAATGAGTGATCTTTTATTTCATTACCTGAAAATCCATGATATTAAAATTTTGGGCAAGTTAAGCATTTTTAGGTCGTTAGCACATTGACCGGGAGAAAGTCCAAGTTACTCGATTAAGTCAGCTTGGATTGGCATCACAGAGTGCCTAGGATCAACCTTGGTGATGTCGTATTGTCGTGTAGGCTTTCTCAGTTCTGACGATGTGATACATCGAAGATTTTTGTTTAAGCTCCTCTTTGGCAGAGGCAGATTCTTTCAATTGGAATAAGAACAGTACCAACATCATTCATGCAAAATTTCCTTTGATTTTTTTCTGGTGGAAGTTAGTTTGCTGTTGGGATGTATTTATCTCGAGCTTTATCTACAAATTGATTTTTATTTAATGTCCCATTGTTTATAATTTCAGTGGATTGGAGCACTTTTTTGTAACTTCCTTTTGCTCTTTGTCTTGGTTTTTCTACCCCCCACCCCTGTGCACTCATCTGCCTGTGATGAAGAGTACACTGTAGTGTAGTATTACCCCTTTGTCGATCTTTTGATTGCTTGTTTAACGAGAAGAAATGTTTTCTTTTCATATTTGTGCCTTTTGTAATTGATTTTTTTAATTTTTTTTAGAGATACTGAGACATTAATTTAGAAATAGTGTCTCTTGGCTCATAACYTAACCGTTTGCTTGGCTGCTTTTATGTAGGCTACAAGACACCTTCAATTTAAACTATAACCTAAACAATCGAAAAAAAATCTATATAAGCGGTTGCAGATATCTTCTGGTCCTCAAATTGGAATCTTCTGTACATTGTAAACAGATTATTAATGACAACAGTTTGAACTTTTTCCTCAGAAGAAATTCCAACAGTTTGAATTATACTTGCAAGTTTTCATCTTTAGGCCTCTGGTGCCCTTGGATCCACTTGTTAACTTGTCAGTTACATCTTGTGAATTTTATCTTTTTGTATAAAATGAAGCAGAAGCACAAGGAGAAGCTGCAATTGCTGGGGATGCAACAGCTTCTGAGAACCTTCCCACAAATGGGGCAGAATGGGTGGAACTCTTTGTCAGAGAAATGACAAGTGCCTCAAACATGGATGATGCACGAAGCCGTGCTTCCAGAGTTCTTGAGGTTCTGGAAAAGTCCATCTGTGCCCGTGCAAATACAGACGCAGCAAAAAATTTTCATCAGGTTTCCAAATGGTTACATTTCTGCCATTTTTTCCAATATTCTGCCACTAACTTTTTGCGGTTTTATCGTAGTTCTTATTTCGTTTACCTAATTCTCTAGGAAAACAAGATGCTTAGGGAACAAGTGGAAGCACTTATTCAAGAAAACACTATTCTCAAAAGAGCTGTCTCCATTCAGCATGAACGTCAGAAAGAATATGAAGGCAGGAACCAGGAGTTGCAACATCTTAAAGAATTAGTGTCTCAATATCAAGAGCAGTTGAAAACCCTAGAGGTTGGTTCCATAAATTCTCTAACCTGTTTTCATTCAAGCCCATTTCAGGGAAAAAGTTTACTGTTCGTTTTTAAACGCCATCATAAGAGGGTTTCTTTTTTCCAACCCCAAGAAAATATTCCAAGTCACACTCATAAAATCCTTCATATCATTAACATACTAATTTCTGTAGTGTGATATCCCTTGCATCTTTTAATGGAACTACCAGGTGAACAACTATGCACTCACAGTGCATCTCAAGCAAGCTCAACAAAGCAGCTCCATTCCAGGGCGTTTCCACCCTGATGTTTTCTAGTCAAGAATTGCTAGGTCGAAGCCGTGGCGAACTCGATCCTCACAAGACTTCTGTCCAATAAAAATAGTAAGATAATCGATTTGAACTTCAATCAGTAACATGTTTGTGGGTTCCACTTCTTATCTAGAAGGTATAAAAAGAGTAAAGGCATTTACTTCTCCATCCATCTGCACAGGGATTAATTCTATTCTCTCTTCTTCTTCTCTCTTTTTTTCCCTTTTTCCCGCTATTTCTGTCCTATTTTTGGACTGAATTTGATTCTCATAGATATTTTTATGTCCCATTTCCTGATTATAGTTCAAAACTGATTGGAATATAGAGAATAACACTCCAAAAAGATGAATGAAAAGTTGTACTACTTTCTTTCATATGCTTGTCTAAATATCTACTTTTCCGATTCCGAATTCTAGTTTGAAATATGCTCTTCCCACCTCCTAATGATAACAATGCATCTAGTTCATTCCTTTTCAACCAAATATGCTCTACTATGCCCAGGATCTATTAAATTCTGAGCATCACATGACCATAGTCCCTCTGATGAGTGCTTTTCATAAAACACAAGAGTGATCTTTATGCCATGCTTCATCATTGGGTTTTTGCCTTTTAACTGTATACAGCAACCTTCTGATGCTTGCTTGTAAAAGAAATTCTCCTGGGAAAAGCTTCTTCACAGCACCGCGATCTCGGTGGAGATAGATTTTCAACAGCGGTCTGGCGTTTTTGCTTTGAAACTGCAAGGTAAATAACTTCATGTTAGATTGTTTAACTAGCAAAGTTGATCTAAGATTTTATTTTGGGTTCGACTTTTCCTTTTTAAAAGAGAGTTGCAATGCCCCAATTGAATGAAGAACATCTCTGGAAGTGAATACAATTCTTAGATAGACATGAAAAATAGTGGCCAATATTTAATCTGCTCAATTTTATTTGATTTTGCTAAGAGTTTTTTAAACAATGAAATTATTTGTATCGAAAATCTTATTATTATTTTTTGTCTCAGTTAAAAAACAGTGAGTGTAGATTCAAACCTTCAATCTTTTGGTTGAGAATGTATGTCTTATCATCTTAGATGCTCGAGTCGGTAAGAGAGAGAGAGAGGGAGATATTTTAGACGCTGATTTAATAAACGGATTTTTCTATCTTTATATTTGGTATACCAACCCTTTGACTTGACATGTGAAGTTTATATAATATGAAACGACGAAGTTTGGAATAACTGAAAAAGATGCCCCAAAACTGAAACTTAAATAATGATGATGATATTATGATGGAACTGTAACATAATATGAAAAGACAAAATCAAATTGCGATATAGAAATTTCTTGATTTCGTCGGATGACGAATACAAGAAATGGAATACTCTTCAGTTTTTTGAAAAATAAGTTCTTTACATTTTCTGTTTAGAAAATTTATAAAATAGTGTAGTCAACAGCTTTAGCTGACGGCAAATTTTGTTTTGTTTTGTTTTGTTTTTTTTTTTTAAAGTTGAATCATTTGTGGAGGTAGAGTTTCAAATTCTCAAGATTAGGTCGTTTTAAAAAATTTTCTTTTTTAGTATGACAAGTGGCGTTGCATAGATTAGAATTCATGACGATCATATACAGATATCAATTACTATTGAGTTCACGTTGGTAAAAAAAAAAAGTTATTGGATATGACGAAAGGTAATAAAAGGTTAAACTTTCAAAATAATTTTCTCCCTTGTAAGGTATGAATAATAAATGTAAGATATATACATCTTACCGATTTGAGCTTGATTAAGACTTATATCTTCAATTAAAATGGTAGAAATTTGAATACATATTATTTGAACTAATATTGCAAACCAATATGAATAAAATATATCAATATTACAATGTAATAAACTAAATAAATAAAAAGAACTCACAACCCAATAAACTAAATAAAATATATCAACATTACAAAAGTACAAAAAAGACATTTTTCCGTTGAAAAAATCAATAGAAAAGAAAGAAAAAGACTATTAATACTTTTTAAAATAACTAATACATTTTCTATTCGTGGACATCCAAATAGCCATTAAAAGCTATTTCTTGCAACTATACTAACTATACTATACTTTTCTAGTAAACATTATTGACATTGGAGATAAAAAGTGACAAGTTTCTTCATCTACCTAACTATGTTGGTTCTTTTCAAAAAAAAAAAAAAAGTCAAAATATCTATAAATTGTATTTATCGACAATAATAGTACTATGCTATAGGTTCAAATCATGGTGGCTGCATGCTTAGAAATTAATATTCTATAGGTTTCCTTGACAACTAAATATAATAGAGTTCGGAAGAATTTGTAAATAACTATAACAAAGTAGCATATAGAAAGAGTGTTTTGCCCACATAAATTTAATTCAACGATAAATTTTTTTTTTTTAGTACAACATGTCGAGGAGAGATTCGAACTCACAACTTTATAGTTTGAGGTATATGTCAATTATCGCTGAATTATGCTCGCTTTGACAATTCAATGGTAATTAACACCTTTCTCTCTCGTCAAAACATCATGTGTTTGAATTAGGAAGAGAGTATTTTTCTCAACCTATTACCAAAATAGGCATTGAAGACAACAATTTTGCTTTAATTGAGTTATAAATTCAATTTGGTATATATTAAAAAAAAAAAATTTCTTTTTGTGTAAATTCCTAAAAAGACATGGCTCAAGCTCCCTATCTACAATCGAGTCTTTCTTCCTTCTTCCATAAATGAAATCTGAAGCCAAAATCATACATCACCTCAACAATCTTCTTCACTTCTGAGAGGCAAAATTTCCATAAACCCATTTGCACAAAACTTCTATATCATTGGTAAAAATCCCCATTTATACAATTAGTTTCACAAAAACAAATTTCATAGAGAACAAAACACAACCATTACTCCTAAAAATCAGTAGAAAACTAGCCTGTTTTAGAGAGAGAGAGATTCAAGATTTTGGGAAAATGGAAGTTCCAGTTCCCCCATTTCTCATCATCCTCTTAAACTCCTCAAAATTGACCATTCCATCTCCATCCAAATCCACTTTCCTGATCATCTCCCTGCAATTCTCAGCCATTTTCCCTTCCTTGAGCCCCAAACATGACAGAACCAATCCCAATTCCTCCACAGAAATCACCCCATCTTTGTCCTTATCAAACACTCCAAAAGCCTCTCTCAGTTCCTCATCATCATCTTCTTCTTCCTCCTCTTTCTCCTTCCTCAATTTCTCCGCCAGAACACAGAACTCCTCGAAATCGATCAGCCCATCTCCATTTTCGTCCACCCCTTCGAACAATTCCTCTGCCTCCCTCTCTGCGATCCAGTTTCTCAGCGATTCCGTCAGCTCCTTTCTGGTTATGTAGCCGTCGTTGTTCTTGTCAAATGTCCGGAATATCTTCCTCAGCTCCGTCGGCGGCTGTGGGGGGGCGACGGCGGCGGCGACGGCGGCGGGCTTTGTAGGGCTCTGTTTGAGCCAGGCGGAGAATCGCTTGGTGGGGAAATACACGAGGAAATTGACGAGGCCTGCAACGAACAAAACTGCCAATAACAGAATGTTCATCATGGATTGCGATTCCATTGTTGGAGAAGAAAATGGAGAGAGAATTGATTGAGATTGGGGAAATTTGTTGGGTTGGGTTGGAGGAGAGGGTTTTAAAGGCGGGGACTGGAAGAAAAACTTGAAGAAAACGCGGTTTTGAATCTGCTTTTTGGATCCCACAAACCGCGTGGCGTGTATTTTTTTTAAAGCTCCATTTTCGCTCAACATTTTGAAAAAAGGTTCTTCACTTCTTCTTCGCCTTTGGTGTCATTGTGTGAGCGTGCTGCTTTGCTTTATCATGCCGTTTGCATTTGCCCAAGTCTTTAAATATGAAAATGATACCCTCACCTCAACAAAATATCATTATTTGGTCCGTCCGAACCCGAACCCGAAACCGAATCTGGCTTAGTAGATATGACATCTATTACTCTTTTTTTAAGGTTAAAGGTTCGATCTCCCACTTTACATCCGTGAAACTAGAGGAGAAAAAAATCACCGTTGAACTTGGTTGGGTAGTTGAGACATTCGTATAATTTCCTCTAGGAGAGTTTAGGAGGAACAAATTTCCACTCTATGTTTAGTTTTAATTAATAAATGAGTAATTTTTAGTATGTGAGCTAATGAGCTAACATGAACATGAGTAAGAGTTGCATAGAATTGACTGAAAGGGTTATTGGATGGATAGACGGATATTGGTTAGCAAAAATAGGGAATGGGAAAGACTCAAATGATTATTTTGTTAAAGTTGAGGGATTGAAATAGATATTTTAAAAGTTTAGAAACACGAAGGATTGTTTTATAAAGCTTGAGAATCAAATTTATGAGATCCAAACCTATAACAGAAAAGCTCATGGACCCGAAAAATAAGGGTTTTTAGTACAACAATAGGTAACGGTGTGGATTCAAATCCACGAATTTTTGGTCGAATATATATGACTTAACGAGTTGAATTATGTTGGGTTTGACAAACCCAAAAGACATTTGTATTCAGTTTTGATTTAAAGCATAGAATGTAACTAAGTAGTTGGGTGATGTTATCAAATAATTACGGTCAACTACTTTCCTTTACTTAGTTTTTCTCATTAGATAGATGAAAAAAAAATTCTTCAAATAGTTGATTTTTTCCTAAAAATAGATCTAAAATAATACTAAAATGGAAATAAGGAAGACTGAATATAACATATTTACCAAGTCTTATATTTATGTATGGATGCAAAGTATTGACTAATTTAGATGCCTTTCATTGTCTTTATAATATATGTTGAAAGGGAAGCCTAACTAAAAATTAATTTCTTACAACTAATATGTGTATATATTAGTGCCATTTGGAAGCATGTGGTGTTTGAGTGTACTTAGAGGTGAGATTAAGGCTAGACTTGGAAAACAAAATGATTTATTTTCTTATTTTACACCCGATCAGTATCCCACCCCACTACACTCCTTCCATTTACGAAGTGAATTATAACTATTTATTGAGAGTGTGAGAAAGAGATGTTTAGGTGCGAGATCAAATCAAGTCCGTTCGATCCATTTGAACCAGTTGTATAGATTGGTTTGATTTTTTAAGTTATAAAATTGACAAATAGTTGGTTGATTTAATTTAGATAGATTTTATCCATTTTTATCAGGGATGATTTTTCTAATTAACTCTTTTTGGAAGAGAAAAAAAGAAAAGTAAAGAAAGTAGAATCAACCTTTTTATAATCAATTAAACTAAATATAATGGATTTTTTTTTTTGGTGGGGAGATTTGGGAAAATTGATTCCAAAAACACCCATTTATATATTTTGTCTAGCTAGTTGTAGTTGCCTTTTTTTATAATTAATTTTTGGGAGGATATTCTAAACCACATATATATATATCTATACTATATTAAAAGGTAGGACGTAGGAAAAACATTTTTGGACACTTTTGCCCTTTACTAAATTTACAAATTACAAATTATACCATTAATATATTATTACAAATATTAAATTAATTATTAATTATTAATTATCCATACTATAAATRCATGAAATATAAAAGGTTGGAATGCAACAAGTTTTCCAACAACATAAAATTAATTTTTTCTTTAATTAAAATTCATACTAGAATTTCAAGAGTTTTAGAATTTGAAAAGCTTTTGTAACGTTTTATCCTCTACTACTATAAAAATAGGTTTCTTCTACATGTTTTTCACAAGTTTCAATACTTTTTTAATCTTAGTTCCTTCAAACATCTCTCAAAGATGATTCAATCATGAAAACATCTCGAGATATTTGTGACATATTCATCAAGTTGCAAGGGAGGCATATGTTGAATCTACATATCTCGAATACTAGGTTTGTGACATTACCATTCCACAATTTTACAAAGTTGAATAATAGTATATGTCAAGCAATCTTCAAGAATGAGCATATTTACTCTAAAAGATGAGTGTATAGTAAGTATTTGGATTTTTTTTTTGTTACTATTGTTATTTTTCTAATTAGTGTGTTTTTTATTTGGAATGTTTCATTTTTTTAGCAATTTTATTTAGTTTAGTTTAGGATTTAGATTTTTCTTTTTGTTACTAATGTTTTTTTTATTGTTTAGTGTACTTTTTTTTATTTGGAATGTTTCTTTTTTGAGCAATTTTATTTAGAATATTTGTTTAAAATATAGATAATTACAAGCTCATGTAAAAAAACAATCATAGAAGTCAATACATAAAAAAATGTTTAATTAATAAATTAATTATAAACAATAATTTGTATAGAATCTTAAAAGGTGGAATATAAAACTTTTGGTCAATATAATTTGATGAATTTTTCTTTAATAATTTTAAAAATTAAATCAATAAAATAATTTATATTTAGTTAAAAAATTCAACATATATAACAAAATGTCAGCTCTAAACAAATATTTAATAAACAAACAAAATATTAAAAAAATAAAATAAAGGACCCTTAGGTTGAAATAATTTAAAAATAAAAATATTAAAATACCTATTTACTTTTCTATTAATATATAATTTTTTCCTTTACTTTTAATTTATTTATTTACAAAATATATCATTAACAATTAGATATAAATAGTATATTTAAAAAAAATTATAAATAGTACATTTTATTATTAGTAATTAGATGTCAATAATAATAAATATATATAAAAATTAATCTTAATTATTTTTAAAAATAATTATACTTAAAATATTTTACGTGAAATTATATAAAATTTAAGTTACCTTATAATTAAAAAAAAGTTGTACGTACATTGCACGTGGTAATACACTAGTATATATATATTCTAGATAGGATTTAAGATTCTAAACTTTTACTTCTTTTTTTTTCTTTTGGTGGAGAACATGTCTATCCTTTTTTATTCTTTAAGCATCTCATTCTTGGTTTTTTTTCCTCTACAAATCTAGAGATTGCTCAAGAGGAGTGAAACATGATAAAAAGAAATCTAATGAGAAAGGTTTACAACATATATTGAAATTTGGGTTCAAACAAAATATTTGAATTTATAAGGACCAAAATGAAATAGGATGGATAGTTCGAGAGCAGTAGTAATAATAATAATTTGCTAACAAATTATAAAGTTTTCTCCAAACATGATTTGATTTTTTTATGTATTTGTTTTTGAAAAGGAATATTACTTCTTGTTGTATTCTATGCTCTTGGCCACACGAGTCAAAATAGTTCTCCAAAAGTCTTTCTCCTACTCTACTCTTGGGATTGATTCTTTGTCCATTTAAAAAGGTCTCAAATGATTTTTGATTGAATAAATACATGACCATACAATAAATAAGAGTATACACTACAAAAATTTTTATTTCTGGCGATTAAGATTTTCTTGATGCAAGACATTTCATCGAAAAAATTTAAGAACTGCCGACAGATATGAAATTTTATTGGCAGTTCTACTTTTTTGAATATAGGGGTGAGAATTAAAACTCAAGATCACAGATGTCTAAACTTGTTGAATTAATTTATGCTTAGGTTGCCGGTATCAAACTTTTGTGTGCGTGTTTTTAAGAAATTATAACACTTGTGTCATACTTTATTTATGTTTGGGCCTTTGGCCCATGGGCTTTTAGTATTGGTTTCTATTATTTTCAGATCAAAAGCCCTAATCCAACAAACGCAAACAATTTTGGGCTTCACTTGTAAATAATTCTCTCCATTTAATATGTTACAAAAAAAAACTCAAAACAAAAAAAGAAGAAAGAAAAAGAATATCGATTGGGGCAATGGAAGATATATCAGAAAAATAATTGTAAAAAGATAATTATATCAAGATTATAGACCAACCAATATTAACCACTTATTTAACTTTTAAGATTTAATTTTATGAAATG